CAGGAAAGGAAGTCTTCGCGGTTCCAGATAAAGAGCTTCGCACTTATTTTATAGCTCAGTGGTTTTCAGGATGTGGTCCTGGAGCCCCTGGGTGTCCCTGCGATCTTCTCAAGGGTCCTTGAGCTCAAAATTATTTTCCTAATTATGCTAAACATTTTTGCTATTTTCGTTCTCATTCTCTCACAAGTGTTTAGTGAAGTTTTTCATAGGACGAAAGATAGAACAACAGATTGAATGCTGAAACAGATTTTAGAAGCCAGCAGTCTTCTTTTACGCCAGGCATTAAAAAGATTTGCAGAAATGTCAAACACCACTCTTTTCGGTTATTTTTTTTTAATTTACAATTTTTAAATGTTTTTCATTAAAAACATACGGTGTTAACATGCAATGGGTTTATTATTGCAATTTTAAAATCTATTACTATATTTTAAATTATTTCTCAGTTTTATTTCCTGATATGGTAACTACTGATGGGAGTAGCAACTATGCATTTAAAAAAGTTCTTGGAGGTCTTCATAATTTTTAAGAGTGGAAAAGAGTCCTGAGACCAAATCGTTTGTGAACGCCTTCCATAGGCAGTAAGAAACTACTGAGGAGTTTTAAGTAGGGAAATGACTTCATCAGATTTGCATTTCAGGAAGAGCTCTCCAGACCCAAGCTAGGCCCTGAGGGACAGGTTCACAGGCACTGGCATCTGAGGCAAAGCGATGGAACCTTGAAAGTGCAGGGCTGGTGAGCAATGGAGCTAGAACCCAGATGACCCTGGGGTTTTTGTTCCTAATTTGAATTGCCCTGCAACCTGACAGGCGAGCACCTGGGCAGTACCCACCCATTTCATACCTTTCTTCTCATTCGGCCCCACTAGAGAAGATTCTGCTGCTGTTTCTGGCTCCAGCATGCAGCTCCCTCTCCTTGCTGGCCATGTTCTGAGAGCAGTGGAGTCAGGGAGGCAGAGGAAAGGAAGAGGTTACCAGTGAAGGTGTGAGTGGTGAGCGCCCACAGAGGGCCTCTCCAGGCTGCATAGCCCAGGGTATCCTTCCAACACTCCTGGGCTGTTCAGAGAGGGAAAACAATCACATCAGAACCTCACTGTCTGGAACAGGTAAATTGCCCTAGAATATTGAGGGTTTGTTCCATTAGGGTGAAAAGTATACCATGGACCCAGCAGGTGGCATGGTGCTTGGGGCGCTAGACTCCCACAGGGCCGTCCACCTTTGGGGTCCTGGACCTGGAGGCTTCAGAATCACACTGGGCTCATGTGCCTGTGTGCCTCAAATTCCAGGAGGAGAGTGGAAGAGAGGGGTTTATGGCCTGGCCATCCCTTCTGGAGGATCATTTCTCACTTTCCCTCTCACTGTGTCTGTCTCTCCATTAAGCACCCAATGGCAAAAACAAAACTTAAAATAGTGGGACCATCAGATGGCATAATGGTTACATCGCTGGACTCCCACATAGTTGATTGTAGTTTGAGTCCTGGACCCAGCAGCTTAGAACTTGCGCCGGGCATATGTGCATGTGTGCCCAAGATCCCAGGAGGAAAATGGAGAAGAAAGGATTGTGATGTGGCCATCTCCCATAGGGTGGTGATGGTGGTGGTGGTAATTTCTTGCTTTCTGCCTCAAATCTCTCTCTAAAAAAGTATTCATATCAGATCAATATCTTTTAAAGATATGGATTTTGTAGTCATCAAAAGTAAATTAGTGACTCATTACAAATGCGCATCAGTAGCAATACCAGGCTTTATTACTGAGAAATGCTCTTAGGCTACTAAGGAGCACAGGCCTATATTCCACCTAACAAGTCGTCTCAGAATGCTATGCTTTGGGGATTCTCACAATGGTTTCTTAAAGTTTCTGGTGGTCACCTGCCATTTTTCTTGTCATGCTTGTCCTCTTTATACCTGCTTCTAATCTGTTGCACCAAATAGCCTCTGAACCAAGGTGTGAGGGACTGTCCTGAGATGAAGCACTGGGAAGGCCAGATGCGGCGGCAATAAAGAAGGTGGCTGATGGCAGCTGTGGAGTTAGCGCCCACTTCTCTGGCTTCGATATCCTCCCCTTTAAAATGAGGATACCCGTCTTACTCGGTTGCTGAAGGGACCACAGCACAGCACTCCTCCGGCATCAGCCCTTTCCCTGGACTCATCTGTTCTCAGTTTCACTTCCATTAGACAGTTCTGCATGGAGCCCTGAACCTTCACAGGTTAAAACCCAAAGGGGACCAGCAGATGGTGTGTAATGGTTATGTTGCTGGACTGCCATGTAGTCGACTGTAGTTTGAGTCCTGGACCCGGCAGCTTAAAACTCACACTGGGCACATGTGTGTGTGTGTGTGCCCAAAATCCAGAGAGGAGAAGGGATTGCAGTGTGACCATCCCCACTGATGGGTAATTTCTTACTTTTTGTCTCTCTTTCTCTCTGGTGAGTGCCCATGCCTTATGGCAAAAACCTCTCTTAAAAATAAAATCATGGCTTTCCATCTGAAGCCGTCTGTGCTCCCAAATTCAGACAATGGCACCACCATACCCAGTTACTCAGGCTTGAAACCATGGTGGTATAAACATTTTTTAACAATTATTGGGACCAGCAGGTGACCTAATGGTTATGTCTCTGGGCTCCCACGTAATTGACCGCAGTTTGAGTCCAACCTGGTGGCATAAAACTCATGCTGGGTGCGTGTGTATGCATGCCCAAAATCCTGAGAGGAGAATGGAGGAGAAGGGACTGTGGTGTGGTCATCCCCTGAGGAATGATTTCTCCCTTTCAGTCTCTGATGAGTGCATGTGCCCTATAACAAAAATCTCTGGAAAATTATTTATTTAATTTTATTTATCTTTATTGTTATTTTCGAATTTGCCGTAGTGCTTGTGCACTCACCAGAGCGAGAGAGAGAAAGTTGGAAAGCAAGCCACTAGGTCTATGACTTGAACTGTGGTCAGCTATATAGGGGTCTAGTACCTTAACCACTGTGCCACTTGCTGGCCCCAATGGTAGTGTGGGTGTGTGTGTGTGTGTGTGTATAAAGTTAATTTTTTTTGAGAAAGATTTTTTTTGTTATAGGACGCGTGTGCTTGCTGGAGAGATAAAGAGACAGAAAGTGAGGAATCACTCCCTTTTCCCCCTGGGGGATAGCCACACCACAATCCTTTCTCCATTCTCCTCTTGGAATCTTGGGCATTCATGCACACGTGCCCAGTGTGAGTTTTAAGCCACTGGGTCTGGGACTCAAACCATGGTCGACTACGTGTGAGTCCAGCGATGTAACTATTATACTATCTGCTGGTCCCGGTAATATAATGCATTTTTAAAATGCCTCCCTGCCATTCTCCATACCCTAAAGCACACTGTCTTTGCCCTAGTGGAGGCCCTACTCCCAGGACTATTGGGGTTGTAACCTAACTCTTAACTTGCCTCCCACAGCTGCCAAAACATGTCGCTCACTCCCCAGTTCTGAAAACTTAGTTAAGTCCTCATCACCTCCAGGACAGGGCCCAAAGACCTTCGCTGCATCCAGGCATCTAGATGGGCCTTAAACAGTGGGTAGGAAAAGCTGGACGTGGAAGAGCAAGTGTTAGGGGAGTGGGGTATAGTATGGAAGGTATAATAAGGAACAGCTGAGGGGCCCATTTAAGAGATGGCAAGTAGGCGGCCAGCAGATGGCGTAATGGTTACATCACTGGACTCCCACATAGTTGATCTCGGTTCAAGTCCCGGACCCTGAAGCTTGAAACTTATGCCGGGTGCATGTGCATGTGTGCCCAAAATCCCAAGAGGAGAATGAAGGAGAAGAGATTGTGGCATGGCCATCCCCTTTGGGGAGGTGTGTGTGATTTCTCACGTTTGGTCTCTCTGTCTTGCTGTTAAGCATGCACACCCTATAGCAAAAATCTCTCTGAAAAAAAAAAAAAAAGAAAAAGAGAGATGGCAAGTAGTTTGTGTAGCTAGAGGAGAGGGTTTATGTAGGGACACATGGGACTGTAAGCTGGACAGAGAACAGGGCGCAGCTATGGAGAGTCTCATGTTAGCTCAGAGTTTGGAGGGTGGGTAGGTGAGTGGGGGCGGCTGGTAGAGCGGACGGGTGGGAGTAGAAGTGCTGTGTTTGGTTCACTGTGAGGCACTCACATTTTTCTTTGCCTGGAATTCCTCTGCTCGACCTCTTCCTCACTCTTGTGCATCCAGGGGTCTGTCACAAATGTCATCGCCTCCAAGAAGCCTTACTCCACCCTCCGAGCAGCGATGACCTCCCCAGCTTCCTTAGCTGCCCACGCTCGCCATGTGACCCTTTCCAATGGCATTGTCACAGCCACCCTGCCAGATAGCTCTTTCAGTTTGTATCTTTTCTGAACCCTGCACACGTCATACGCTTGGCCAATGTTTCTAAGTTCAGTAGAGCCCTCTTGAATACTCCCCCTGGAACTTGGGGTAGAGGGTGATTGTGCCCAGGCAAACCCACTGGCATTCCTCTGAACCAGGGATATGC